TTTGTTTGTTTGTATTGTTTGTTTGTATCTATTTGTTTGTGTCGTTTGTTTGTATTTGTTTGTCTATCTCTATTTGTCTGGGTCTATTTATATGAATTTATTTGTCTATCTATATCTATTTATTTATTTGGTTATTTTTCTATTGATTTGGATTATATCTGGCTATTTTTATTTTTATTTATAGGATTTATAGATATCGTATTTTTTTCTAGTTTGTAATTTTTTTCTAGTTGTATTTATATTACGAGAAATATTAAGAAAAAATTTTCTTTGCATTATGAAGAGAAATTATTTATACTAGTGCTTATATTTTTGGTATTAAAAGATTGGCTTTTACGATCATATAAAATCTGAATTTTTAGAATAATAGGTTCTTGATATATTCTACTACATTAATGGTCGTGCTATTCTAACTTGAATTGAATATATATATATATGAAATATTCGAAATGATTTCTTTAACGCCAAGCATATCGAATATATGGATCTATGAATTGGCACAAAAAAAATAATGATCATAAGATTTATTTCGATGATATGATAATCGATTTAAATTCGATATTTAGATTCGAATTCGTGAGGTATTTTGGAAAGATTTATAATATTGATATATTAAGAATCATCTTGGAAAGATTTCTAATGATGATTTGAAGATGATAATTCTCTTGGCCTTAATTGAAATATGGGTAGATCTCATATGATATCGAAGATATCTAATTATTATTGATTTTGATAGAGAAGATATAATAATATTGAGAATATAACTAAGATCAATCATATTAATATGGAGATCTTCTAGTCAATAATTTATTCTATATCTAGAAGAACGAATCTATTCTTATATGAATAAATCGAAAAAATATTTAGTTCTGGGAAAATAGAAATGAATATATTTATTATTCATGATTTTTTGAGAATATTGATTATTTATATATTGATATAATATTATCATATTTTCAAGAATTTTTTTAAATATTTTTCATATAATATCTTAATATTAAATCTTAAGATATCTAATTTTCTAATGCATATTTAATGATAATTATATGATATCGATTATATTTCGTATCTCTTTGCTTCATTAATTGATTTTTATCTGATCATATCTAGATTCAACTTATAACATAAATATCTATTTTCATTCAAAAGATGATTCTAATTGATTTCATATTTCAAGATTATATCTATATTTGCCTCATATGCTGACATAGATTGATCAGATTTATTATTGAATATCTTTTCTTTTAAGAATATATATTCTCATTATTTTGATGATCCCGATTGGTCATATATCTTGAAATCATCTCCTTTTTCGAATGATATAATCTTATCATATATCTTAACATATCTTCCTTCTGATTATCTTAAACCTTTTTTCTTTTGGAGAAGTAATCATATTTCTTTAATCTATTAATTCATTTAAGATTTCTAACATATATAGATATAGTCATATCTCTAATCAGATTTATTGCTAAATATCTTCTCTTTTAAGAATATATATATTCGCATTATTCTGGCGAACTCGATTGGTCAAATATCTTGAAATCATCTCTTTATTCGACGATATAATCTTATCTTTTATCTTGAAATTTCTTACTTCTGATCATCTGAAATCTTCTGTCTCTTGAGCGATTAATCATTCTTCCTAAATCTATTCACTTATTTAATGATTAAATATATTTCTTAATTTTTGACGGTCCAAATCGATCTCATTTCAAAAATCTTTTTCTTATCATATGCTCCCAGAAGATCATAAATATTAAAGCATCCGCTTATTTGGTCACCTAAATTACTCATAAATCCGCACTATCATATTACGATCCAGATTCTTCTCATTAATAAAAAGCTAAATCTTTCCTTTAGAAATAAATTATTGATATTTCTAAATTTGTATCTTTATTTGACGATCTCGATTGAGTCGATATCTTAAATCTTCTGAATCATATATTTCAAATCTAAATCTCATTTGATGATTTCGATTAGGCATTTTTAAATTTCGTCTCTTCAATAAATGATCTTATATTCAAAGATATATCTTAAATATATTTCTTTCATAGGTTGAATCTAGATCATTCTATATCTTATTTTGACCATCCATATTTGTCATATTTCTTAATATCTCTCTTTCGCTGGCATAAATTAATCATATATTCCGAATACGATCTTTCTTATGATGATTCTAATTCATCATAAATCTTGAATATTTATTCTACATTCCCGAATAAATATATATATTCCATTCCTCGTCCCATATTTGGAGATCCCGATTCAACATAGATATGAAATCTATCTCTTTATTTCTCGATGAAATATCATTGAGAATTTCAATTCTTTCTTCGGATCCCAAACAATTTATATTTTTCGCAATTTCAATAAAAGAATATAGATATAAAATATATATTTTAAATCTACCTCCTTCCCATAATTCTATCGATTCATATATTTTCTATTCTCTTTTAGCTATTTATTTTTCATAATCTCTCTCATCAGATATTGTCGTATATCTTTGCATGAGACAGAGAAAAATCGCTGCCCAACAGAAATAACAGAAATGACAAGACTCGGGCTCTCCGAGATTTCCCCCTTTTTATTAAAATCGTCGCCAGCCGCCGAATCGAAAGTAACGGAAAGTCGCGGAGAGGCGGGCATGTCGTTGGCGGAGGGAGGGCGAGTCGAGGCGAGTGTCGCGGAGTGACGGGCGAAGGCCTGCGTGCGTGGAGTGCGGATGAGGGTATGTCGAGGGGAGTGTCGCGGAGTGGCGGGCGAATGCGCGAGTGAGTGTGTATCTGGGTGTCTATAGATATATCGGTCGGGAGTGGTGGGGGAATATTACGGAGCAGCGGGCGGGTGAGGGCCGAGGAGTGTCGTAGAGCAGTGGGCGAGGTTGGGTGGGGGGATTCTGTGGGGAGTGTCGTGGAGTGTCGGAATTCGTGGGGAATATAGAGAATGAGGGGAGTGTGGTGAGATATATGATGAGAATCGGGATCATATCTGTGTGCGCGCTTGCTTGCGTACTTGTTTGAATATAGATGTGTATCTTTCTCCAACTTTGCGTCTATGTGTGTCTCTGTATTTGCTGTTCGTATGTCAGTGTATAAAAGTAAGTGTAGGCGTGTGTGTGTGTGTGTGTGTGTGCACGTGTCTCTATGTGTTTGTGCGTATCTGAATATGTCTGCGTGTATGAATACGTATCTGATATATTTGTTTGCTTATATGGATATATATATATATATTCGTGTGCCTCTGTGGATCTACTTATATCTAGCACTCCCCCCCCATGGTACATGGTCTAGGATGCCCCCCCCCTCCCCTCCTATGGGGTGCGGGGTCTCTCTTCGCCGTGGGGTAAGGATTTGGAGTTTAAGCTCGGGGTATAGGCGTTAAAATTAAAATTATAAGGGTTCGAGTTGACAAGAGCTTAAGGAGGATTTGAAGATATAGGTTGGTTAAGAGATGATTTATATTCTATTTCAAATTCGGATCCTATATTGAGACGAAAGATAAGATTAGATATAAGATTTAAATTATTATGTGTATGGACGTGCCTCTTTATTTGCACAAGGGACCATTGCTTGAGATATATAATTTTGTTGCTCGGTGCGCTCTCTAGCTGTCGTTAGGTACTCAGCTAACGTAGCAGGCATCCTCTCGAGGCCTTCCATGCCAGACATGGTTGTGAATCTATAATGGCTCCGAGCCAAGCTCATTGTGTCCGGGACAACTATGAAGAAATTAGATTTTGAATTAAAACAACCGCCGCTTCAATTACAATAGGCTTGTTGTACAGAAATCCTTTCATGAACGGTTGCTATTTCTTGTTGAATATTAAAGCTACTTTGTGCTCCATTCGTGCGGCACATAGTCAGTGAACCTTTGATATAATTCATAAGACAGAAAGAAAGACATTTTTTTGGATATAAAATAAATTTCAATAAAATATAATTATATCCTATATATAATTTTTGATTTTGGGCAAAAAGTCCCGTATCCTTTATAGTCCATCGATATAAATTCCCTCTCATATTTCATAAGTAATCATATCTATAATTTTTTTGTTTTATTTTTCTCATTAAATTAAATTATCTCTATATTCAATTCTTCTAATTTATTTTATTTCTTATATTTTTCTAAGAACTCATATCTTTATATCTTATATGACCTCCATTAAATTATTATATGAGCGAAGAATAATTTTACCTCAAAATATATTTTCAAATTTAATCTATATCAATTTTTCCTCTCTATTTCTCTATTCAATATCGAATATCTCAAAAGTTCGATAGAATACTTTAGAAATTACTATCAATTATCAATAAAAATACATATAAATTTTCAAGTTTTCCAGATACAATATTTATATTCTATGCTTTTAAATTCATCATTAAGAATTAGTCTATCTTACAATAGAATAATCAAAAATATTAAAACTCATCTATCGACAAATATATATCATAAATATCAAAAATTTCATTCTATATTCCATATTTCTTAATAACCGAAGATATATATATTATTAATTATTATCTCTTATATCATATATTAAAATTATTTATCAGTAAATATATTCATCTTATAATAAGTCCATTAATAATCTACAGACATCTAATTTTTCACGATACTTAAAATTTTTGTTTTTATATCACATTTTTAATATTCCATATCATAAAGAAATTCAATTTGAAAAATCGAATAATCCTTCAATATATGCAAATATCAATTCAATTTCTCTTCGATGCCATTAATTTACAAATATATATATAGAAAAAAAGTGAATCAAATTATTTTCAATATCCGTTATGGAGAAGATCTTCTCTTATAAGACCCGTCCAAGATTCAAATCATTCCATCCATGATCTAAAGTTTGATATTCTGGACGAGAGCCCAGAAATGTCTGTCAATTATCTATATCTTCGCAAGATCTATGGTTTCTTTTTGGTACACTGGAAAAAGGTCATGATTTTTCTCTAAAAAAAACCAGAACCGATGGTGCGAGCTGGGTGTCAACTTGTAGGTCGCAGTCGGTACAACATGTGTGGCACCGGGTACCGCAAGGTTTGTGCGATGGGCGCCTCCTCCAGAACTTCCAGGCCGGCATGCGCGAAAAACTCTCGCCACTTCTCGTCGGAAAGAACTCCGGACATGTAGTCGTCTGGATCTTGTCCGAAAGGTCTGAAGTGCTCCTGCGTTACATGCCAAGCGAGCCGCTGAGCAGAAGGAGTTCCAGCAGAATCTGGCAAATCCTCCAGAACGAGAATCTCACGGCCCACGCGCGCCGCCTCAGCCAGTAGTCCTGTCCGATCCGGCACTGGCACATGATGCAATACAAATGCCAACACAACCACATCGAACTCGCCATCCGCGAACGGCCAAGGAGCGTTGTCCTCGACCACGAAAACGTCAACAGAATCCAGACGTGCACGAGCTCTTTGGGCAAGCTCGGGATTTGACTCCACCAAAGTAATTTGACGCGGCCCATCTTCAGACAGAACTTGCGGGTCAAATGCCCAGGACATCAACGATCCGTCACCACAGCCAAAATCCAGCAAACGCATCTGCGTGCCATCGCTGCCCTGAAGGTAAGGCCTCAAGGCGTCGAAGTATCGTCTCCTGGACATCTCTTTAAGGCACTCTTGGGCAACAACGACTGGAGTTTTGCGAAGTGTGTCTGCAGAAGCGTCTTGGTTGAGAGTGCAACACACAGCAGACACGCCGCCTGCAGTGTCGGGAAACACCTCAGTCTGCCAGTCCAAATGTGGCAGTTTCAGAAAGGAGAATGGCAAGACTTCGTCTTGGCCGGAGGCACAGGTGAGAAACCAAAACTTCCCGCCGTTGCGGAGCACCTTCGCAATTGAGGCCAGATTGATGATAAAGTCATTGGATAAACTGAACTCATGTCCGCCAAGAGGATAAAACCGGTTTTGCCGTGCTTCCCATCCAGCTGCGAGGACTTCTTCAGATCGGACCTCGACGATCAAGTCGTAGCTGTCCGGTTCGCACTGCCGCAAACTTCGGAGATCATTCCCCACATTGCCCTTAACACCTCCGATCTCCTCTTTTGGTCCGATGAACAGCAAGTCAGCATCCGGCATGTCCTCCAAAGACCTCTTGACAGATGCGGCGAGGACGGGGTGCAGGGTCCCCAGTGCATCCAGATTCGTGCCAGTGCAAGCGAACCGATGCACCGCTGGTCTGGGCTTTGTGCTTCTGCCGCAAAGTACGGTCATCAGAGTGAAGCCGACGCCTGCAGCAGCCGTTTCCAACCATGGCTGCCGCCCAGCCAATGCCAATCTTGTAGGAAGGCTTCTTGGGATGCCTGCGGGACCGTGCGGCGCCAACGGGCTGCAAGTTCCGCAGGCATGAGCTGCCGATGAAGCCCGTGGGAGAAACATCATCATGGACAGAGATATGGGCGCGCAAAGGTATTCTGTGACGGTGATACAAGCCAGTTACAGCTGGTTTGGCTTCTGCTCGGAGACTGTGTACTGCAGTACTACATGCGACCTGCATGTCGCGACAATTGTCAGGAGTTTTGTTGACGGATGCCTGCACTCGCAGTGAACTAGAAAGAAGTTCATGATGTAGCATGTAGCACGTGATGCGAGCTTGTTGCGAAGTGAGCTGCAGCAAGAACTGATGACCGCATGAGCTGAAACGTTGCCAACCATGTTTTGTCTCAAACCCACACCTGCTGAAGAAGTTGTTCGCCGTCTGAATTTCAGCTTAGTGAGAAGGTGGGAGGAAGTTGGCTTGAGCAATACGAGGCCCCTTTGTTGCTAGCGAAACGATGGCAGGTGCCATACGCCGATTCGTCGGCTTCGACGATGATGACAGCAACGGCAGCTGCAACGACTTCCTGCAACGAGCTGGAGGAAAATGCAGAGAGGGCTCGGGAAAATGTCAGGGTGCTTTTCACAGTCGCTGCTGTCATACGTCAAGGAAACAGGAAGGGCGCGCCTCGCCCTCAAAGCACGTTGGCCAAATTCACAACCTGGCTGGAGGACTCATGATAACTTATAACTGTGTTCAGGTCTCCTGCGTTTCGGCTCGTTATGTCCAAGGGCTCTGCAGTGCAGGTCTACTTGTCTGCTGGTGCCTCGATCGGCAACCGCCGTTTGAGACATCATGGGCAGACTGACTCTGCAAGGCCCACAACAGCATGTCCGGGGCCAAAAGCACTGCGACCGTTCTATCTGCCCTTCACAGTCCCAAAACAATCGCGGGCACAGTAAGCAACCGAACTGTGAAGTTCCGGAAAAGTCAGACTTCAGGTACGAGCTTCGCGGCAGTCTTGAACAAAAAACACGTGTCATGTGCATCCGGGCCTGATCCCAGCCGCGCTCCAGCAAGTTTATGACTCGCACGCCTCGCTCCTCCCCGGGCAAGACACTTCAACTAGGGTGATTGGGTGATGTGAGGTGATGCCCGCGAACTCGAACTCGGAGAGCTGCTCCCACGGATTCAAACCCAGCCTGGAGGGCATTGGCACCCTTGGTATCCAAGATGTCGAGAAGTAAAGTTTCTTTGCCGAGATAGTGGCTCCTGGCACGGTGGAGAACACGGGAGCGGCAGGCGAATGGCTAGCGGTTCAATGGAGATGATCTGCAAATTGGGACTGTTCGGATCAGCCTTCCCAGTTCCAAAAACTCGGTCTTGACAGCAAACTCCACGCAATCCGAAGCTCTCCCTCAAATGCTTCAACGGGCTCCAAAACACGCCACTTAAGAAGAACCCCTCCAAACCCCACAGAATCCCCCTCAACAGCCCCGAGGGGAACTCAGATTACAATGAGTTCGACATGGCAACCCGAGTCAACGACCGGCCTCTGCTCGGTATTTCTGAGCAGCGTCACATCCTTGCATTGAATTTTCACTGTAATACACAGTAACAGCCTAGAATATACTATTTTAATAAACTATAATAAACTATGACAGACTACAACATACTCTAACAGGCTATAATATCCTATACTAGACCGTAGTATAAGATAATGGACTAAAATTTTAGAATATACTACTATAGAAGACAAAAACATTGTAAAACATACTATTATACACTATGTTTCAGTTTACTATTCTGTAGTAGACTACAATATACCCTGATTGACTATAATGTATTATATAAGGTCTGTGTCTCAGGTGAACACTCCCAGGGCATGGCTCAACAGAATCTGCTGGACATCTGGGCAATGCTGGACCCAAGGCATGACGCCAGTCGCAAAGGCTGGGGCATCGTACTCAACTCCGGCGGAGGCAAGCAAGTGCAAGGTTGAGTTGAGTGGGTCCTGCATGCACTCGACTCTGAAGTCCTCAATCCTAATGTGGACTGAGAGTTTCCCTCTCATGTCAGAATGCTTTGTGGCCGGGTTTGCGGTCCTATAGCAGGCTCAAGCGGCAGTCCTGGGCCTGGTCTTCAGGCACGGCGAGGATGCGAATGAAGAAGCTCCTTGCAGTTCCAAGTCTTCGAAGTTCAAACATGTCCAAACCACGTGCTGCAATTGCCGGTCGAGTATGGCGATTAAGCGCGACAGATACTCCCAACGCATGAACTCTGAAGCCTCGAAATTTCAAAGACTCCTCAGTTTAGGTTCGCCATGCTATGGGGATGATCAGGGGGAACAGTCCCACAGTGCATGATAATTTGACGACCCATCTCCTCCGCAGCTGTCGAAGCATGATAATTTGACGACCCATCTCCTCCGCAGCTGTCGAAGCGCAGATGCGGCTAGCGGCGCCAAGGCGACCTGAGGGATTTCACCCCCAGGTGAGCCAGTCTTCCCAACTCTGTTACAGTGCAGATAGGAGGGGGGGAGATCCTGGCTCAAAATGGGTGCGTGCACCTGCCAGCCTGCACGGCTTTGGGCTGCGGTAAGTCTACATGACGATCTTCAATCCAAGCCGATCTTCAATCCAAGCGTAGCAAGGACTCTTTGCGATCGGCCTAGTTGTGTGAAATGTATCTCTGCAGCTTGCAGTACCGAGTGTTCACAGTCTCCTGATTGGACAGTCAGTGAACTCAGGATCTGGGCAAGGGTGTGGTGCCAGGTTTCTTGACATCGTTTTCGGTGTGATTGTGGTATGATTCATCGGGACCTGAACTTCATCACGAAAAGGGTTTAGGGTCTAGGGAAGCATCACTAGGGTACAGTATGGGCTCTCTGGTTCCGAATGGTTCCGAGATTGTGAGAACAGATTACAGGAAGGTCTACTCCGCTCCGGCCACCTCGTCTGCGGCATTCCCATGCCACAGGGCGGGCATGCCTGGTCGAGCTCTTTTCGTCATGTTCGGCAGCTTCTTTTGGGTGGATTCCGTTCTTGTCTTGCTGCCGTCAACGACTATGAACTTACATGGCCCACCGGGCACAGATCATGCAAAGCTTCAAAGTTCGTGTCAGAAAGATCATTCAGTTTTGGATACTGCTCGGGCGGGGGAGGGGTGGGTGATGGCAAGTCAAGCTTGCTGAGGCGCGTGCCGATGAACAAATGTCGCTTGCTCCGTCGATGCCTGGCTGTGCCAGACGGCATGACGCCTCTGAATGAGCTCTTGCAGTCTCTAGCCATCTGTCCTTTCTGCTGCTAGAACAAGATTTGAATGATTTCGCAGCAATCGCAGCTGAACTTCACGGGAGTGGCAGTCAATAAGAAGTGCCGAGTTTGCCGATCCACAACCTGACTGGAAAGCACATGCGGCTGTGTGATACGACTTGAAGCAATACCAAACACAAGTTTGTCTACCGAGTCATCATATGACAACAGGGACTCTTTGCCTGTGAGTGCGAGGTAGGGGCAGGTCTTCAAAAATCAGTAGATGATGACATCTCTCGTCTGAGTTTACCGAGAAGCATGCAGAAATCGAAGGGCCTTGTACAGAGGACCAGCTCAACCCGAATCCAGCATAGTAAGACTTCTCTTGCGAGAAAACCCACTTGAAGGCGAAACCATTGCGTCTGAATTGGGGTTCCTTATAGTAGAACAGAACATGCACGAACCGTGCGGGGTTTCGGGTTCATTGCGCGATATTGAAATCGACGATGCTCTATGGAGCATGAACCACGATATGCAGAGAGCACAACTCAACAGCCAAGAGCTATCTATCAGCAACCGGAAGTAGACTCCTCGGTCGGCAGCGACCCATGAGACCCTTGATAGGGGAGACCGTCAGAAAGATTTCCGTGCAGCTGCATTTCATGGTTTCTGGGGCCAATACCAACAAACCAATCCAATCAGTCAAAACTGCTGTAGCCTCGCATCCTCAAGCATTTCAACATAGGCCTTGCGCTCAATGACTATCGGCCTTCCAAGCCTCGCCTCACATCAGACTAAGTTTTCTCCCGGTGGCTGACAAGGCCATAGCTTCTGCCCATTTGCGGCCTGGGACTCAACCATCTCTTTTCTGACATCATGGTATGCATCAAAATTCAGAGGAAAGGACCGTGCCAAAATGCAATACGCACTTGCCGCAGTACGAAGAGTCCTCTCTCAGTGCTCGTCGCATGTACATCAAATCTTTGCCCACGACGCGATTCTCCGAGCCTCTGGCGGATGCCGATGTAGGCATTGCGGAAGCCCTGCAGCTACACAGGACACAGGAACGAGGACCCACACATCCCTGATCATGCCTGTAACCAGGCCATGCTGCATGTAGGCGAGCTACAATGAATGCACTGGGGAATCTCTGCGGGCCTGCCGCTTAGGTCTACAGTTGACAGCAGAGCACAGCCCATGCCATAAGGTGGGTCCGCCCGAGAGTGCTGAGAGCACTGGCACCAATCAAACTTACGAATGCTGGGCGTGGTTGCTAATCCTGCAATCGGTGTTTCGAGGTGTGTTTGTTCTACAGACGATGTGTGGAATTTGCTGGCCTTTCAGGTCCCAAGGACTTCATGGACCAGCCTTCGAGTCACACTGCTTTTGGGATTCATTTGCGGATTGTCATGGAGCTCAATTCTTACGGCCTTCCTTGCCTAAGATTCAAGCCCAGGTGGGCAAGCACCGGTCCGAGAGAAACGCACCCGTAAGCTTTTGGTAGCCGTCCCAACGGGGCTGCGGCCTTGGTGTGCTTGAACTCCGCATAGCCCTCATTCCAGTCTGGTGGGCTGGGCGGGTTGATGTCGCTTGTCGGCGAGACCTGTTGCCGCATTCAGCAACTCACTGCCTTACCGCTAATAGTCTTTCCAATCAACACATGTAGCTTTACAGAGTCTACGGCCTCTTGGCAGTGCGACCCCAAGTGCTGCAGCAACTTTTCTGCCCAGTTCTACGTAGTCATGAGTACACCCAATGCAGAAACACAGTCATGCAACAATCCTTCCCGCGGCAAACCCTTGAGGTCATTACTGCAGCACAGCCTGCTGAGTTACTGTCCTGATCACTGACACGCTGAAGCTCTGCCTCCATTTCACCCTATGTCTTGCAAGTTGTTGCCTCCAGGGTAAAGGGCTCCTTGTGAAGGTCGGGATCTTTCTCCTGCCAGATGAGGTCCACTCCTCCGACATGGGCTCTAAGATGTCTGAACATCCGAGCTGTCGTCTTACAGTAGGCAGCACTGGCTCTAACAGCCGGCCTATGTGATCCTAACTGATTCATGTACCTCATCGAACATGGTAGTCGGAGACAGCAGAGAAAGTCTATTGGCAAAACGGCTATCGTCCAACTTAAGCGGTATGGTCTCAGGGAGTCCGGTCTCAGTTGTACTTATGCCCTGTCGTGACCTTAACAAAATACAATAATCATTATCTCCCATCGAACAACAGAACGCTGCACTATGTCGGCATATATGCATACATACGTTTCTTTTCTAAAACGAACGTGCTACATCAACATGCCGAACACGCGTAATCAGCGTGTGGAGGGAGACACAACCGCTTGCAATCATAACCGACAAAATGCATATTTGAGCAACACCAGGAAAATGACTTTTGAGAGCGCAGCTGCCTCTGCATGCAAAACTTTTGCAGGTCATTGAACGCAGCATTTGGGACCTTTCAAGTGGAGGCGCCTCCGACTGGGATGCCGGTCTTGTTGGCGAAGCTCGCCACGAACGGTGCCAACTCCGAGAGAGGGAAATTGAAGTCCTTGCGGGCAACGTCGAATCCGTGAGTGTATCGACACTCGTCAGCTGCATACATTCCGCAGACAAGCTCACGTGAAGCTACAGTCAATGAGCGGAAAGCCTAAATGAGCAAGCGCCATGCCATGCTTCCTGTCTTTGTGCCCACACGGAATGGCCTGGTAGCCGCCTCGCGTGGAAGCTGCTGATGCGCTCTTCAGGCTTTGCCTCGTGCAGCGCCATTGCCGAAAGCGTAGCCCCATCGAAGACTCTCCCATTCAAAGCAACAGGCATGGCCCAGAGTTTCGGGGGTCCTAGAGCCGGAGTTGAAATGTTCCGAGCAGCCGGATGCGCCAGTAGCCATGGAAAGGGCGGCCATCCACGTAGGTCACGCGGGCCTATTCAAGGCAAGTCATGCAAGCCTCACGGGGTGAAGAAGCTAAGCCTACTAGCTTGCAATATCATTGCAGCAATATGCAGCAGTCTTTTCCAATTCTGTGTCAACCACCGCCTCGCGGTCAGCAAAGGATTCAAAAGAGACGGGCCCGCGTTCTGGGTACATGCCTAGGACAACCAACTCTTGAAAACCTGACTTTGGGTCGTTGTTCGCAATACGAATCAGATGTTTGCACATCAATGCATCAACCGACTACAGGTCCCTCTGAATCTCTGTGCTGGCCTCGCGGAGCGCCTGGACCTTCTTCTGCACCAGGGCCTCTACCCCGGGCTTGGCCTGCCATGCTCAGCACGCGCCGGGTTGTAAAGGCGCTCTGCGTGATGCTTGTTGCAATAAGAAAGTTGCTCCGTTGATCTGTTCTGTGCGCATGCGCGCGCGCGCGCGCCGTGCGTGCGTGCGTG